GAGGAATAAAATACAGGAAACACTGAATAGGGAGGAAATACTGGCTTTTCAGCTGATGGCTTAATCAGACTTATGTGGTCTTTCTCTGCCAAAGAATATTTTACAACTCTGAATATTTTTGTTTCAAATCAGAACAAAAGGGCAACCCTTCTATAGAAGGAGTGACCATTTCTTCCTGCTCAGTTTCCTGGTGGGCCTCCAGAATGGTGAGGAGCAGGGGGGGTAGGTAGGTAGGTAGGTAGGTTTTCAGGATAGCAGGCATATGTGTGATTGCAAACCACTGACGCTGAATTTCTGAAACAGAAATAGAAATAGGCTTCTCTGGAAGCATTTAGACAAGCTCTGCATTTTAGTTTTCAAATGTAAAATCACAAGTTTCTTTTTGTAAAGTTACAGGATGGGAATCTTAATTTAGCAAAAGGAGAAATCCCCACATGACTCTAACCAGAGAACTGGAGGATGAGTAACATTTCCTTTTTTACTTCTTTTTTTAGCATTAAAACTAGTTCTTTTATCCAAGAGGACTAGTGATGAGATGGTGGTGGAAAGAGAATCAAAGATTAGAGAGAGGGCAAAAGATTATACTAAACAAACTTGAATGCATAGGTTTAATGTAGATTCCCGAAATCTCGACTCTGTCTGCAGATTTCCAAGTGCACAGAAAAAAACTCTTGACTCTCTCATGGCTTTGACCTTGATTTTAGGTCTAGGACATGAACACTTATTTTAAACAAAATTGAAAACCTCAGAAAACTTAAATATTTCACTCAAAGCACCCAATATGCAGCTGCATTTACCGTGATATATTCAGTAAAACATTCTGCTTCTCTCCTTGCTTCCTTGTTCTCTCAGCAGTCCTTAGCAGAGGTGATTTAGCAGCATTTTCCACCTATCATGTGGCTGTGCAACTTGAAAAATGACAGTATATTTTGCAAGGCTTGCTGTTTAAAGACAGCAGCTTCTGCCTCCACATGAAATCAGACGCATCTACTTTCTCTGCTAATTATGAGTATTGGAATCTTGCTGCAAGAACATTTTTCCCCACTTGGATTTGTTTAAGTTTTTATGATGCAGGTGGTTTCCTGACTGTCTGCCACCAAGGGTAAAGAGCATGACAATGCAGAGAAGAAAACTCATTAAAAAGTAAAGCTGTGACACTCCATTCAAGGTTGCATTTCTGAGCTTTGCCGAGAAATGAGCTACTTGTGCAGCTATATGTCAATATGAAGCAACTGAAGGCAATGTAAGAAAACTAAGTGAGCAGAACAATTTGTCTTTAAAACACATAGGCACTATGAAGAAAAACGTTCATGAGTTTGGTAGATCTATTGAGACGAATACTCATGTTGGGAACAGCAGTGAAATTATTTGCCAAGGAGCACTGAGAGTGGCTTGTGAGCTGAAGGCTTGTTTTGTAACAACGTGGCATGGGTACAACGCTTATAAACTGATTTTAATGGACATTGTATTGAACTGAAAAGGTTAATTATAGACTCAAGATTTTTTTCATCACTGTGAACAACATAACATCAAGAATATAGAACTGGCTGTGCTAATAAAACCTTATGGTAATCACAGACAGCAACTAATTACTAATCCAGTGGTGGTTATAAAAAAAAAATTTCACCCTTTGTCACCTTCAGTGTGCAACAAAACCTGAAGATTTTCCTATTAGCATTGTATGACTTGAAATGACTCAGTTCATTCAATTAAAGGTATGATTGCATGCTACCTTTTGAACTTTGTCAGTTTTAAATGCTTTCTGCAATCAAATGACAGCAGAGATGACATTGCTCTTAAGAAAAATTAACATTGAAGTTGCAGTAATTTGGAAGGACCAGACTTCACAGGTAGCCGTGCAAAATGCAATGGTTAGCATGACTTGCAAAGCTAAGTGGAAAGACTGTTTCTCTAACTCATTGCTTACTGAGAATATTCCCTTTACTCAGAAGCACAGAACAGACTCCTGTGAGCCAGCTAGTTTAACAGACCCTGGGCAATCTGGGAAAGATTTCTGAAGAGGACATATCAAAGGGAGTTAAAAGAATTGCATGAAGAATGCACACAGTGATTTAGAAGATGGCCCGATGTGTGTAGGTGGCTATGGGAAAGGGTGAAGTGCAGAAAATAAGTGCATGAAATTGCCTAGTTCTGAATTGCTTTAAAGTTCTGAACATTTTAACCTCATATAACAAAAGATATGACATCTGTTAAAATAATTATTGTATTGTGATTTAAATAATCATCTTACATATAAGGCTAAATTTTTCTCTCCTGGTTTAAGCTAAAAAACAAGAACTGATTTATGCTACACATCAAGGAAATTCAGGGTTAGGTATTGTACACTGCACATCTCAGGGCAATTACTGGGCGCCATGTGCTTTTCTATTCTGTGCAGTTTGGCTCATTGTGTAGCGGTTATAATTACTAGTCATTGAGGCATGAAGATGTGGTATAAAACGAAAAAATCCAGACAGCAACGAGGACCAAGAACTTACCCCTTGTTTTCTAAGCTTCTAAGTGTTGTGGTTTAACCGCAGCCGGCAACTAAGCAACACACAGCCATTCCCTCATTCCCCCCACAGTGGGATGGGGGAGAGAATCGGAAGGGTAAAAGTGAGAAAACTCATGGGTTGAGATAAAGACAGTTTAATAGGTAAAGCAAAAGCAGCGCACGCAAGCAAAGCAAAACAAGGAATTCATTCACTGCTTCCCATGGGCAGGCAGGTGTTCAGCCATCTCCAGGAAAGCAGGGCTCCATCACGCGTAACGGTTACTTGGGAAGACAAACGCCATCACTCTGAACGTCTCCCCCCCTTCCTTCTTCTTCCCCCAGCTTTATATGCTGAGCATGACATCATATGGTATGGAATATCCCTTTGGTCAGCTCTCCCGGTTGTGTCCCCTCCCAACTTCTTGTGCACCCCCAGCCTGGTGGGGTGGTGTGAGAAGCAGAAAAGGCCTTGACTGTGTGTAAGCACTGCTCAGCAATAACAAAAACATCCCTGTGTTATCAACAGTTTCCAACACAAATCCAAACCGTAGCCCCATACTAGCTACCAGGAAGAAAATTAACCCTACCCCAGCCAAAACCAGCAGAGTGAGCTTGTGAATATTCAGCAGCCAGGCACGGGAACCAGTGCTTCATGCCCTGGACAGGGGGACAAGGCAGGCTAATGGATTCTCCTCTCAAACGCAGTACAGAACAGCAGACTTTCATTCAACATTTCCTTCCTTCATTTTCTGCAGCATTTTGATCCCAGAAATAGTCCATAATACCAGTGCTTTTCACATGCAACACTTTTCCCTCAGCCAGGCCCCTACAATCAACCATTGCTCCCCACACTGGTCCGCTGACCCCATGCCCATAACACCAGCTCCCTCACATCAGTTTCGCTCACTGCTTCAGCTCTTCACCGGCTCCTCCTCTTACCAGCCCCCTCAGTGAGGGCTCTCCTGCTTCCTTGTGGTGTGATCTTTAAGATCCTCTTGTATTATCAAGGGTTATAAGATGGGGCCTCCAACCATGCCCTGCATGTGTTAGAACAACAGCCCTGTATGGGTTACCCTTCCCATCATTCACGTCATACCTGCATTGCCTGTAGACCAGTCAGTGCTGGGATTCCAGGTAGTACCTCCACGGCTGCTGAGGCCCCATGCTTAGACTTAGAAAATGCAGCATTTCCAGACTGTGAGATAGCTGTGTGGCAAGACTCTGCTCCTCTAGATTACTTCTTCATATCCACAATTAAGATAATTGTTATATTGCTAAAAACTCATTTAGTGAGGGATACAGCATACTTGTTGGTTGTTGCTACTGCAGACTTCTGATGCACAGCTTTATGTCTGAAATAAACATAATTAGAGGCTTGCCTAAATACCTCCACCTTCCCTGACTTACAGTTCAATTTTCACTGAATGGCTCAAACTAGTACAAAATACACACAGGAACAAAAGTCCTAAAGATAAACTTGACTGTTCCTGAGAAATTTCAAAGATCTTTATTGTTTGCTAGTGCCATAGAAGAGAGATGCTCTCTCTGATGCAGTCTTCTCTTTGAAACAGCAGCGAAGCGGCAGGAGGCTCTGCATCACTAAAGGCCCTGTATTTGATGGTTGTTGAGCCTACTGTGCACAGTGACTTACTAAAAAGACACACTACAAAAAAGGTCAGTCGCAGCAATATTTATTCCAGTTGTGAAATTCTGCAACAGAATGGAAAATGGATTTGAGAAATCAAAAAACTGGATCAGATGTGACATGGATAATTATCAAGACAGATGTCTTAGAGGAATGCACCTTCCCCCCTAACGCCCAATGCAGCAGAACAATCCACTAGCAGCTGTACTGGCATTCCT